ATACAAAAACAAGACCCATATATATGCTGTCTACAAGAAACCCACTTCAGACCTAAAGACACATACAGACTGAATGTGAGAGGATGGAAAAATATATTCCATACAAATGGGAAGCAAAAGAAAGCTGCTGTATAATCCTCATATCAGACAAAATAGACCTTAAAATAAAGATTACAAGAGATAAGGAAGGACACTACATAATGATCAAGGGATCAATCCAAGAGGAAGACATAACAATTGTCAAAAGGGAAATGAAAAAATTTCTAGAAACAAATGACAATGAAAACACGACAAATCAAAACCTATAGGATGCAGCAAAGGCAGTCCTAAGAGGGAAGTTTATAGCAATATAATCCTACCTCAAGAAGCAAGAAAAACATTGAATAGGCAGCCTAATGTTACACCTAAAACAACTGGACAAAGAAGAGCAAAAAAACCCCAAAATTCATGGAAGGAAAGAAATCATAAATGTATGAACAGAAATAAATGAAAAAGAAATGAAAGAAGCAATAGTAACAATTAATAAAACTAAAAGCTAGTTCCTTGAGAAGATAAACAAAATCGACAAACCATTAGCTAGACTCATCAAGAACAAAAGAAGAATCAAATCAACAAAATTAGAAATTAAGAAGGAGAGGTTACAATAGACAATGCAGAAATACAAAGGATGTAAGAGACTATTATGAACAACTATACGGCAATGAAATAGATAACCTGGAAAAAATGGACAGATTCTTGGAAAAGTTCAATCTTCCAAGACTGAACCAAGAAGAAATAGAAATTATGAACAACCTGATTACAAGCAGTGAAATTGAAACTGTGATCAAAAATCTCCCAAAAAACAAAAGCCCAGGAGCAGATGGTTTCACAGGAGAATTCTATCAAACATTTAGAGAAGAGCTAATGCCTATCCTTCTAAAACTATTTCAAAAAATTGCAGAGGAAGGAACACTTTCAAACTCATTCCATGAGGCCACTATCACCCTGACACCAAAACCAAAGACAACACAAGAATAGAAAACTACAGGTCAATATCACTGATGAACATAGATGCAAAAATTCTCAACAAAATTTTAGCAAACAGAATTCAGCAACACATCAAAAAGCTCACACACTATGATCAAGTTGGGTTTATTCTAGGGATGCAAGGATTCTTCAATATATGAAAATCAATCAATGAGATACACCTTATTAACAAATTTAAAGATAAAAACCATATGATTGTCTCAGTAGATGCAGAAAAAGATTTTGACAAATTTCAGCACCTATTTATGATTAAAACTCTTCAAAAAATGGGCATAGAAGGAAACTACCTCAATATAGTAAAGTCCATACACGGTAAGCTTTGATAAGCCTACAGAAAACATTATTCTCAATGGTGAAAAACTGAAAGCATTCCCCCTAAGAAGACAAGGGTATCCACTTTCACCACTATCATTCAACATAATTCTGGAAGTCCTAGCTATAGCAATCAGAGAATAAAAAGAAATAAAAGGAATCCAGACTGGAAAAGAAGCAAAGCTCTCACTGTTTGCAGGTGACATGATAGTGTATATAGAAAACCCTGAAGATAGTATCAGAAAATTACTAGAGCTAATCAGTGAATTTAGCAAAGTTGCAGGATACAAAATCGATACACAGAAATCACTTGCATTTCTATATACTAATAACAAAAAATCAGAAAGAGAAGTTAAGGAATCAATCCCATTCACCATTGCAACAAAAAGAATTAAATATCTAGGAATAAACTTACCTAAAGAGACAAAAGAACTATACACAGAATGTTATAAGACACTTATGAAAGAAATCAAAGATGATATAAAGATGGAGAGATATTCAATGTTCCTGGGTAGGAAGAATCAATATTGTGAAAATGACTATACTACCAAATGCAATCTACAGATTTAATGTGATCCCTATCAAATTACAGATCGCATTTTCCCCAGAACTAGAACAAAAAATTTCACAATTCGTATGGAAACACAAAACAAACCAAATAGCCAAAGCAGTCTGGAGAAAGAAGAATGGAGTAGGAAGAATCAACCTTCCTGACTTCAGATTATACTACAAAGCTACAGTCATCAAGATGGTATGTTACCAGCAAAAAAACAGAAATACAGACCAATGGAACAAGATAGAAAGCCCAGAAATAAACCCATGCCCCTATGAGTACCTTATTTTTGACAAAGGAGGCAAGAATATAAAATTGGGAAAAGAGAGCCTCTTCAATAAATGGTGCTGGGAAAACCAGACAGATACATGTAAAACAATGAAATTAGAATAGTTCCTAACACCATACACGATGATAAATTCAAAATGGATTAAAGATCTAAATGTAAGACGAGAAACTGTTAAACTCTTAGAGGAAACCATAGGCAGAACACTCGATGACATAAATCAAAGCAAAATCCTCTATGACCCACCTTCTAGAGTAACAGAAATAAAAACAAAAGTAAACAAGTGGGACCTGATTAAACTTAAAAGCTTTTGTACAGCAAATGAATTATAAGCAAGGTAAAAATACAACCCTCAGAATGGGAGAAAATAATAGCAAATGAAACAACTGACAAAGGATTAGTTTCCAAAATATACAAGCAGCTCATACAATTCAATACAAAAGAAACAAACAACCCAGTCTAAAAGTGGAAAAAAGACCTAAACAGACATTTCTCCAAAGAAGACATGCAGATGGCTAACAAATACATGAAAATATGCTCAATATTGCTCATTATTAGAGAAATGCAAAGCAAAACTACAATCAGATATCACCTCACATCAATCAGAATGGCCCTCGTCAAAAAGTCTACAAACAATAAGTGCTGAAGAGGGTGTGGAGAAAAGGGAACACTCTTACACTGTTGGTGGGAATATAAATTGATACAACCTAATGGAAGACTGTATGGAGATTCCATACTTAAGATTCCATACTTAAAAAACTAGGAATAAAACCACAATATGACCCAATAAAAAACTAGGAATAAAACCACAATATGACCCAAATCCCACTCCTAGGCACATACCCTGAGGAAACCAAAATTGTAAGAGACACATGTATCACATTGTTCATCACAACACTATTCACAATACTAGAACATGGAAGCAACCTAGATGTCCATCGACAGATGAATGGATAAAGAAGGTTTGGTACATCTACACAATGGAATATTATTCAGCCATAAAAAAGAACACATGTGAGTCAGTTCTAATGAGGTGGATGAACCTAGAATCTATTATACCGGGTGAAGTGAGTCAGAAAGATAAATACTATATTCTAATGCATATATACAGAATCTCTAAAATGGTACTGAAGAATTTATTTACAGGGCACCAGTGGAGAAACAGACATAAAGAATAGACTTATGGACATGGGGATGGGGGAGGAGAGGGTGAGATGTATGGAAAGAGTAACAAGGAAACTTACACTACCATATGTAAAATAGATAGCCAATGGGCATTTGCTGTATATCTCAGGAAACTCCAACAGGGGCTCTGTGTCAACCTGGAGGGATGAGTTGGTGAGGGTGATGGGAAGGAGGGAGATATATGTATACCTATGCCTGATTCATGTTGAGGTTTAACAGAAGACAGCAAAATTCTGTAAAGCAATTATCCTTCAATAAAAAAAATATATAAACTAAAAAAAAAACCTTGAAAGTGGTCTAAAATTATTATTTTCCTGATCATAGGGTTGTAAATGTTGAAATATTTCAGGATATATCCTAAGGAGTGACATCAGTGTTAATGAACTAGTTTTTGTGTTTTTATTGATTTTTAAAATAAAACTTCAATGTTTTTTCTTAAAAAAAAGAGTCAGATAGTAACAAATATTGTTGTGGATGTGGCAAGATTGGTATCTTTATACACTATTGATGAGAATATTAATATTAATATTTGAAAAACAGTCTGGCAATTCCTCAAAAGGTTAAACATAGAGTTACTCTATGACCCAGCAATTTTACCCCTAGATATGAAAGGAAAATAAGAACATATGTCTACACAAAAACTTGTACATGCAAGATCATAGTAGTAATATGCATATCAGACACAAAGTGGAAACAACTCAAGTATATTCAAGGTTTTCAAGGGGAATAGTGACTGCTAATGAATATAGAATTTCTTTTGAGAATGATAAAATATTTTAAAATTGATTTTACAGCTCTGAATATACTCAAAATACATTGAATTTTACACTTTAAATTATATGATATGTGAATTATATCTCAAAAAGTCATAAAATGGAAGTTGATTTTAAGTTGATATATATTGATGTAACAAAAATATATATATTACAAATTCAGTGAATAGATAGTATACCTTTGTAACAGTTCAGAGATATTTCACTGCAAGTGAGAAAAAACCCAAATAGTCGTGGTCTAACAAGTGGTCCAATCAAGTAGGTATTAATATTTATACATAAGAAGAGTTGCTGGTGTATGGTGGTTCACTTGCTGGAATTCTATCAACAAGGACCCAAGTATCCTTTTGCTTTCCATTTGTGGTATGTTAATGGTTCATCCTTAAGCTCATGGTTACAAAGGGGCTGCCATCTATCAAAATGCTCCAGGTTGTCCATATATTGTCTCCTTCCTGTTCATCTGAATGAGAAGGAAAGAGTTCATGAACCTATATAGGTGAATCACTGCTCAGAAGAAGTCCATTCAGAATAGCCGGATCAGGAATAGCCACACTGGACTTTGTGAGAATGAGGAATGCATCTTTGTTTGCTAAGCTACTGAGCCTTAAAATTTTACTTTTTCCCCTGACATCATGTAGCCTTCTTTAACCAGTGCAGCATGGGAAATATGAGTAGGGAAGTAAGTGAGTAGGGAAATAAGTAGGAAAGTAAGTAAGTTCTTCTGCTTTGAATATTTTCCTTGCTAACACGAGGTAGGCTTTGACCAAATTTTACCACTTTGGTCACTAAGATGATTTTTTTCTTTCTGAAATAGTGAATACGATAAAGCTTGCTTCTCCTAATCTTCCCCACTTTATTTTTCCAGGGCATCATTTTTCTTTATTAATAGAGTCCAGCTCTTAGAACGCTGCCCGGAATCTAGAAGACACATGATAAGCAAACGGTGAAACAAAGAAGGAAGAAAGGAAGGTGATGATAAGTCATAAGTTGAGCATACCAAGGCAGGGAAGCATCATGGTCAAGAAGACTAATTCTGGAGCCATGTTTTCTGGCTTCAAAAATTCAGTTCTTGAATAAATATTTACTAGCTGTTTGATCTTGGAAAAATAACCTCTTCATTCATTCTCTTCCTCATCTCTAAAAGAGTGAGAATAATTGTGCCTGTATCATAAAATTGTTTTGAGGAAGTGAGTTGTATGTAACATTTTTGGAACAGACTTGGCATTTAGCAATGTTATTAATATATAAGTGTTAGCAATTATTATTATGGTGTGAAATCCAGAAGTACTCTATCTTGATTCCAATGGAATATTCCATAGAGTTTCTTAAAAATCAATCTCTCCTCTTGTTATACCAATAAAGTGTTAGTCACCCAGTCATCTCCGACACTTTGTGACCCCATGGACTATAGCCCACAAGACTCCTCTGTCCATGGAAATCTCCAGGCAAGAACACTGGAGTAGGTTGCTATTTCCTTTCCCAGGGGATTATCCAACCCATGTAAGGAACCTGGGTCTCCTGCAGTGCAGGCAGAGTCTTGCCATCTGAACTCTTTGTGACTTTATGGACTGTAGCCCACCAGGCTCCTCTGTCCGTGGGATTCTCCAGGCAAGAATACTGGAGTGAGTTGCCATGTCCTCCTCCAGGGGATCTTCCCAACCCAGGGATTGAACCCATGTCTCTTACCTCCTGCATTGGCAGGTGGGCTCTTTACCACTAGAGCCACATGGGAAGCCCTGTTATGCCAATAAAGCCATAACATAAAATAGGTAATGAAAAAAATAGTTCTAAAATTTTAATCATACATGTTCACTATATGTAAGTGTATTTCCCTTTCTTCATTCTGCCTGTAATTAAAGCTTTGTTGTCAGGTTTAGGGCCTCCAGAAAAACACAGAATAAGCACTGTAAAAGTCATTGCCGGAAAGTAAGAGAAAAAAGAAAACTGGTCCTGCCGGCTGGCAACTGTGGGAAGGAAAAGGAGTTAGTAGGAAAAAGTCTGATTGTCTTCCCAGGGGAAAGAGAGATGGTAACCAAAGGAAAGATACAAGCAACAGTGCATTGATGAGCTCCTCCTTCTGTTCCTCAGCGTCCTCTGGGTTATGTGGCCTTCTTCCAACCTGCAGAGGCAGAATGAGCAAAGGTGGGCCAGAGTGAGCCCAGGTTAATAATCCAGAGCTGGACACTGAGATCCTGAGCGGAACAGCCTGTGATAGGTCTGGAGATGAAGAGAGCTCATGGACTGGTTAGGAAACCTAACAAGGAGTGTGCTGTGACAGGAGGATATTACACGATGTCTGAGGCAAGCGCACAGCACCCAGACCAGGGATGGTCTGGCTGTCACAGTCTGGACTCTGGAGGCAGCACCAGGGAGATGTGAGCTGGGGCTGAGAACCTGATCAAGTCAAACAAACAGAACAAGAGCCCCAGCAGCAGATAGCAGCAGCTCATCCCACAAGGGACCCCAGAGATGGGGGCATATGTACGTTTCAAAAGATGCCTGACGATGCTCACTCAGAGACCAGCTGCCTGGATGTGGAGAACAGGAGCCAGAAGTGAGATATCACGTCATCACCAGCACCTACAGGATGAAAGCTCTCTCCTGTTCTCAGACAAGCAGAGGAAAGGAGGGTGGTCTTGATGGGATATTTGCAAGACAGAGATGGCTTAAGTTAAGGAACAGGAGTATATTTGCAATTAATATGTTTTGTAAACCTTCCTGACTATCCATTGGTCAAGGTCTTCTGAAAATGATTAGATTTTTACAGAAAAATAAAGTTCTTATTATGCATTTATGTGCTTGTTTAACCTGTGTTATAATAATGTGGTCAATTTAAAGTGCTTATTTCATATGCTTGTATTTAACTTTCAGATTCATTTTATTGAAGGCTGATAGACCAAAGTAACTCTCCTTTTTTACACCTTTCTTGAGGCATCTGGATATTACTTTCTCATTGTCAAACGGGAAGCAGACCTGATGGTAGATCGATCAGTCCGTCAATCAAGTCTCTTCAGTTATGTCTGAAGAGGCTCTTTGTGACCCAACGGACTGTAGCCCACCAGGCTCCTCTGTCCATGGATTTCCCAGGCAAGAATACTGTAGTGGGTTGCCATTTCCTACTCCAGGGGATCTTCCTGACCCAAGGATTGAACGCTCCTCTCTTTCCTCTCGCCTCCTGCATTGGCAGGCAGATTCTTTACCACTAGCACCACCTGGGAAGCCCCACAGCCAGCAAAGCCTCTGGAGAGAGCGAGCTAAAGGAAAGGTATTGTGTGTGCTGCCTCCAAGGCAGGAAGAAGGCTGGTCCCATGTGGAGGGATGGGAGAGACCAAAGGAAGTGGCCGTTCACAGAGAAAACCCAAGGATGAGATCCTTCCTGCTCCACATAAGACTGGAGAAGATTCTGGAGAACTGAAATATGTGGCAGTGGAAATGAGGACCTGTTGAACCAATAGTGCTAGTCCCACCCAGCAGGAAGCAGGGCTCACAGGACAAGACAGGTGGGGAGAAGCAGGAAGGCTGTGGAGCAGAAGAAGTCACTTGCTTCTCTGAGCTCCTGGAGTGAGTCTGGAAAGTGGATCTGCTACAAAGAATGCTCCTTGAGGGAGGTTTTCAGCTTTTGAGGTAATCTATAGATTTAATATTTTTTCCATTATATTCTATTGATTAAATTTCTATGATAAATTTGTGTTTCTTATGTTTGCAAACAGAGAGCTTCAATATAACTTGGTAGATTTTATTTTAGCTCAGCATGGTGAGAACTTTGCAAATTGAATTGTAAAAATCTCTTTCAAAAATGATGCATTAAAAAATCTCTATACTCTTAGAACATAGTTCTCATTGAAAATATTAAACTGTTGATACAGTATTACTACCTACTAATCCAAATGAATGCTAGCAGATACACTATTTGAATGCATAGTAGTTAAATACTAGACTTGCCTTGGAGTTAGTGAGCTCATTTTTTGAGATCCACTTTAAGGTCACAATATAAATTAGATAAAAGTTTATAACATCAATATATAAGTTGCACCAATAATGCTAATAGAGAAAAAGTTGGAAACAATCTAGCAGATTATATATATATATATATAAACTATTTATATACACATGCATTTTACATACAAGTATTAATATATATACATATATGGGCATCCCCAGTGGCTCAGCAGAAAAGTATCTCCCTGCAGTGTAGGAGACACAAGTATGATCCCTAGGTTGGGAAGATCCCCTGGAAGAGGAAATGGCACGTCACTCCAGGATTCTTGCCTGGAAAATCCCATGGACAGAGGCGCCTGGCAGGTTATAGTCCATGGTGTCACAAAGAGTCAGATACAACTGAGCGCACATAAATGAAGGAATTGAATACACTTCCCTGTGCTATGCAGTAGGACCTATGCAAATGGATAAATGTTGTTTATCCATTCTGTATATAACAGTTTGCATCTGCTAGACCCAAACTCTGAATCCAACCATCCCCTGCCCCCTTCCCCAGCTTCAATTTCCTTTTAATACCTCTTGAATCATTTCCTCTCTTTCCAGAAACCCTCCTTCCGTCCAGGAAGAAATAGCATATTCTACAATGATGTTCTAATGCATCTACGTATGAATTTATACTTACCGTCTGATACAATGAAATAAGAGAAGATGCACTTATTACAGGAAGTAATTTTCTGTACTTAGCATGTGACTTACTGATTCCTGTTATAGTTTGACTGAGGCTTACATGTGAAATAAATGTATATTTTTAAAACCAGTTTCCCTTCTAATCTGATTGAATTATTTATTAAAAATTGAATGGTTAATAATTGAGAGACTCAAAAGAGTCACTTATTTTAGGTTCTAAAATTTATCTGACTGGATTTTCTTTTGAATACCTTGTTCTTCCTAATGGCATTTCCCTAATATTAATGCTGAACTGAAACCAAAAATAGCAAGGGGGTAAGGACTCAGAATAGCAGGAACTGAGAATATCAGTGTAATCAGCAAATTAGGGCTATGTACAAATCATGCAATTGGCATCATGGGAGCAGCAAGGACCCGCCATGTGGAGAAGAGAACACTCGACGTTGATAACTTTGATTAGCATTTACATTGATCGCATAATTCAGTCACTGCCAGGATGTTTCGTGATGCTAATAAATAAAAGATGACACTCTCTAAGAATGGTGGCTTCTATAGTATTGTAGCCAGAGACAGCTGAAATGCAGGGTGAGGTGATACTTATTTCACCAGAATTCTCTTGATGGAGCTCTGACTGGTAAACCCAGATAGAGCTGTTTCTCAAAAAGAGGGTAAGAGAGATGTTGCTAGAAGTCTCAGGTGGATTTATGCAGCAAATTGTTTTGTTTCCAAGATCTGGAGCGCCTCCATTTCTGTGCTTTAATATCCTAACTCAGCCCCTCCAGCAAACCAGTGTCCTCCTGGTTTCTCTGCTTGTTTAGCTTTAGATCATCCTGGGTGGTGTTTCACACTCTAGGCCTGAGTTGATTCCATCTTTCTCATAGTAAATGAAACCCTTATCTATAGTTCTTTATACATCCTGAGTTATATACCATATCCCTGAGCATCTCCCTCCCTCCCTATGTGTGTGTGTGAGTGAGAAATTCAAAGCAGTTAAGGAATTTCCCCAAATTGCAAGGTCAAAACCTCTGCTGACTTAAGCCTTTGTCTCTTTTCAGCACAGCTCACTATTCTAACTACTTTAGTTCTTCATTCCCTTGTACTAACTGGCTCTAATGTGGCCATCATAGATAAAGATTACAAAGGGTCACAGAAGCATAAAATCTCCTAATTAAACATCAGTTTCTAGTGAGCTGGCCTGAAGTGATCCAGTCAGTAAGACCTCTCAGAAGTTATACCAAATCTCAGTTTCTTGGTTGCTTCCAAAGATGAGGAGCTCATTTCTCCTAGTTCCACCTTTGGACAGTCTTTTTTTTTCCCTTTATTTTTTCTTTTATTAATGTCTATTTAAACCAGACTTCCACTTTGACACGTAAAACAGCCTCTTTCTTTCATACTTTCAAGCTACCCTCAAAGTCAACATAGTTTAGCACTTTTTTTTAAACAAACACATTAAAGTTTAGATAAAAGGCAGGGCATTGGGTGAAGACAGAATGCTCTGGTAAATTTGGGCATTAAGCATTTATATTAGAATCAGGCTGTCCAAATTCCTAATCTGATTTTGCCTGTTTACTAGAAGCAAAACACTGGACAAATTATTTAGCCTATCTATGCCTCATTTTTAAGGTGAATATAATAACATATCTAACTCAGGATTTTTTAGCTTAAATCAAACACTTGGAATATTGCCTGGCACACTTTCAGCACTCAATAAATATTAACTATTATTTTTAATACTGACATGATTAAATAATATTGGTAACTATCCTGTGACAGTTCATGCTGCTTAGAAATCACTCAATCTATATTAACTTTTATTATTCAGTTTACTATTTTTATTTTATGCTTTCACACATTTTTTAATATCCAAAGTCATAAAAAAATGAATTTGGAATCTCAGGGTCCATAGCACACCCAGTGGGTAAATCACTTCAGGTAAACCGGGCAGATTTTGTGTTATCCTCCCAGTAAACACCCAATATCTCCTAACAACTTCGCTTATTGAATCACATTTTAGGTTCAGTTAAGATACCTGTACCCATTTTTTCTTTCCTTAGAGAGTCAGAGATTCATCTTCTTTTCTTCAATTATCTAAAGTGACAGCTACCCACAGTAAGTTCTTAAGATGCCCTATCTTTTGTGATTACAATGGCAACCCTCTAACATATGTCCTTTTACCCCATTTCACAGCTGAGAAAACTAAAGGTTGGAGAGGCTATCCAAGTAGCTGAGGAAGTAACTCAAAGGGAATTAAAAAACCAGATTCTTAATAGCATGCTTCATATTTGCAGGTACCATCAGAAAAACAGCTCTCAGAGCCCATCTTAGCTGGAATCCCAGTCATAGAGTCTGATACTGTGCTCTCCCTCCTGACCTAGAGACCAGGTAATGTGCCTGGAGCATCTGTCTTAGTGATATACACTTTAAATATCCAAGACTAAAGATACAGCAAAATAAAGATGCACTATAATATGGAATAAAAATAAGTGTATCCTGAAGACTACAGACAGTGGGATGTGCTTATATTTCCACCAAATTAATGGATATTTTGATTACCCATTGACAAGGCCAGATTTCAGACCCAGGAGAAGAGTTTAGTCACTGTGCAGTTGAACTTAGTGAACTACCAAGGTGGTAAGTGATATAAACTTGCTTATGACCTTCTCCTCGTAAGTGACAGCCTCCTCTGTCACTCTCCAAGTCTCAAGTACTATGAATGAGAATACTGAAGATTAGAGACCAGAAATAACAGTTTTCAGGCCAAACTAAATGAAGTTGACAGACTTTTCAGGAATTCCAAAATTTACATAAATTACAAACATCTCTTTGGGAAAGATTGAGGGCAGGAGGAGAAAGGGGCGACAGAGAATGAGATGGTTGGATGTCGTCGCCGACTTAAGAACATGAGTTTGAGCAAACTCTGGGAGATGGTGAAAGACAGGGAAGCCTGGCATGCTACAGTCCATGTGGTTTCAGAGAGTCAGATAAGACTTAGCGACTGATCATCAACAATAAACATCTATGATAGGTATTCTGAAGTTAATTGACTGGTTTGGCCCCAAATATAACTTTATTAGATAGTTCTGTGTACCTGCAAGTGAGGAACCAGATAGCATTTGTGATTAGGCATGCTCATACACACACACACATAAAACATTGAAATGGATTAAATCTTCTATAGGCATGTTGTCACATTCCTCCAAAAACAACATTTAAATACCAACTTGCTTGATTCCGTTTGAGAGTTAAAACTGACTCCCTTACCTTTGATAATAGACCTGTACTTAGAAGCCCTTTTATACCCTGAGAATCTCAGGCTATTCCATTAATCCTGCATAACGCACCACAAAATACCAGAAGATCAAACCATGTAGCAATTACTGAAAACATTTTCCTGATACCTTCCCAGATTTTCCTATGGGGAGTGCTAACTCAGTAAGTGTTCACTGTACATAAACAAAACATATGCTATAACTCTGCAAAGAACTTACTACAATCTTTTCTAAAGGATTTGGCTTTGTTTGACAAAATAGCCTTTAGGGGAAACTCTAATGGACTAAAGCTAAAGATCCAAATAAAGGAAACATGATCCATTTGAAAGTATAGGGGGCTGTGGATCAAGGTAAAAAAATATGCTTGTGCTGACTCAAAAAGTGCTGACTTCCTCTGGTAGGTCATCTTATAGGTCTACTTTATACCACAAAAGAGTGTAATTAAAAAGCGCTGATGTTGGGTGCCAGGAAGAACATGCCCTCCCCAAACCTTGTTGAAGCTGCAGTGAGTGCAACTTTGGTGAGATTCACTGTGTTTCGTGGCACTGAAATTTTATCAATAGCCCAGGATACAATCTTACCTCATTAACTCGGATTTTGATTCTGAATTTACAAGAATTTCAATATGACTTAAGAATTGATTCTTGCTGAGCTAAAATCTCCTAATAATTTCTTCTTTTGTGAGTAGCAGAGTCTTATTCACAAGACCAAGATAGTCCAATGTTGTAGTGTTTGCATCAACAAAGAGCTTCCTATTCAAAGTTTTGCTGAAGTTTTGGAATCCTTATTTCCCACAGAAACTTATTACTATGGGAAGCAGAAATATTAGGCAGGCCTAGTTACGTCAAACACAAAAATCGCTATTATTGAAATGATAGTGCTGAATACACCACAAGGTAATTTAGTGTTTGCATTTAAATTCTGGGGTTATGGATAATTTTAGATTCTACATTTGTTTATCTTCCAATTAAAAATATAGCGATATCATCATATAATGTGTAAAATCATCAAAAAACATTCTTTAGGAGTTGGAAAATAGTAGGCATCTACAAATATGACTAATCAGAGGAGTGATTCCCCTCATGCCTAAGTTCAATAAGTATATCCATTTCATCCTAGTTTATAAAAAATTGGTAAGTGATCAAGCACATTTATTTTAGTTATATTTATAAATATATGTTTATATCTATAAACATATATTTATATAACATATAATAATATATATTATATTATATAATTATATCATAATATAATATATAACATATTGGTAAGTGATCAAGCACATTTATTTTAGTTATTAATTTATATAACATATAATATAATAAATTATATTTATAAATATGTCATAAGATAGTTTATTAAATTTGTCTTTATGAAAGGTGACCCTTAAGATATGATCTGATTTTACATGGTTGATAATCTTTGGGAACACAATGAATAACTTTAAAAAAACAGTATTAACTTTTTTCAGGAAAATGATTAGTAAATATTCTGTTTCATATATATTAGGATATTTAGGGTACTAAATATTGCCATATATCTATGACTACTATCATCAATCCCTTACCCTACTCTCAACTGAAATCTAATTATTTTCCATTTATGTTTCTGAGTCTTTCATAAAAGTAACTTTCCCACACAAAAGCTTCAAAACTTTTATTTACTGTGGAGGGTTCAATGGACCTGAATGAAAGAACACTATTTGCTGTGGATACAGATGCCCATTAATGTTCCCAGT